CCCGGTGGCCGCTTCACCCTGAAGATCCACATGCCATCGACTACGTTTGCCCCAAGGGGAGGAACCTCGTCGACGGAGGTGCCTGTGGATCTGTAGGAGGCCCAAGGCCCTGACACTGCCTCAGCGTAAGTGCGAGGAGTCGGTATGTCAAGGGCGTCGGGGTCTCCCTCAGGGGCGAGCAGCATGGCACAGAGATGAGGGGAAGCGGCTGCAAGGAACTCCAGCTAAAACTGTCTGTCCTCTAGGGCGTCACAACCAAGGGCAGACTCACCCTCGACGGCCAGAGGACTGGTAGGAGGAGCAGCCACGAGACAAGTGGCGTAGACAAGGCGGCGAGTAGCGGCGAACTCAGTGACATTGGCAGTAAGGGCGGAGACAGAGGACAGAGAGGCACGAGGGTCCGAAACAAGAGAGGCGAGAACACGAGAGAGAACAGGATGGTACGTGCGGTAGTAGTCAGTGACAGGAGTAGAGAGGGAAGCAGTGAGGGCTGACTCAGGAGGAGAAGGAAGCACAGACGGAGACAAATGAGGCGGACTAGAACGGAACAGGACCGTACAAAGGTCAGTGACAGGGACAGGGGACAAGGGACGAGCACGAGGAGAGCGAGAAGCCCAAGTGTGAGAAAGAGGAGGGGACAACGGACGCTGAGAACGGGGGAAAACAGCTGGGGTGGGGTCAGGAGGAGGAAGCGTGGGACCGTAGACAGGAGGAGAGGGTGAGGGGGGAGGAGAGGGAGAGGGGAGAGTGAGGGTCCGAAGGCCAGAGACAGGAGGCGGAGGTGGCGGCTGCTGCTGCTCCTGCCGCGGCGGCTGCTGCTGCTGCTGCTGCTCCTGCTGTGGCGGCTTTGGCGCCTGCTGCTTCTGCTGCCGCTCCTCCAGCTGCTGTAGCTCCAGCTGCTTCCGCTCCAACTCCAGTCCCTCTCGCTACAACTCCAGCTACTCCTCACGTGCACGGCAAAGGCGGGCCTGGTGCCGGGTCGGGTAGGGGTGGGGGGGAGGAGTAGTGTCCGGGGCGGTGGTAGCCCCAGGACCGCTCTCCAATGCACCAGTCGCACCAGCAGCAACGCGGCCAGGCCCAGGCTCTCTAGGTCCAGCAAAGGGCGCACCCGCACCCCCCGTCGTAGCACCCCCAGGGACAGCTCGACTAACACTAGCTCCCAGAACCTCCTGCAGACCCGGGCTCAGCTCCAACTCCAGCACCTCCAAAGGTAGCACCTCCAGGGTCCGCGCTACGGACACTAGCACCCTCACGGTATGCGGCAGCCTCCGGAGGAACTGCTGACGGCTGCTGCGGTGACTGAGAGGAGGACTGCGGAGAAGGGGACGAGACCTGAGGGGCTACCGAGGGGGGGGGGGGGGGGGTAGCGTGTGACACACCTGACGGGGCTGGACCAGGGGGGGAGGCTGTACCTGAGGAGCCGGAGGGGGATTGGGAGTCAGGAAGAGAGGGGGAGGAGGAACCGGGAGACCTCGACAGGGGTACCGGGTGTAGTAGGGGACTGACTCGTCAAAACGGACGTCATGAGAGTCAAAGAACCGGTGAAGGGGAGGGTGGTAAAAGGTGAAGTCAGACGGATCCTCGGGGAAACCAAGGAAGACACAGGGAATGGCGCGAGGCGAGATCTTGTCAGCGGAGGTGTCGCGAACACGTGCCAAGCAGCCCCGGACATGAAAGCGCGACGCATCACCAGGGGACCCGGTCCAAAGACTGGTCGGTGAAGCCCCTAGCCGAGAGACACGTGGCCAGAGGTTCGTGAGTGGCATACCGAACCGTGTAGGGCCACAGAAAATGGGGCGCACGAGCGTGAATCATGGAGGTGTGTGCAATATCCATGACCAAGCCTATGCAGCGCTCAGCAACCCCATTCTGCTGTGGGGACTCTGGAAGCGTCCAGGACTGGCGGATGCCCTGCTCGCGACAGAATCCGGCGAGAACGCCAGAGCGAAACTCACCCCCACGGTCGGAGTGAAGACAACTCACACGACGGCCACGAGTGCCCTCAGTGGTGAGTAACCAGCGGATCAGCGTAGAAGTCACGTCGGACTTCTTTGCCAGAGGAAATACGGTGGTGTAGCGAGAGTAGTCGTCAACGACCACCAGAAAGGAACTCTCTCGCTCAGGGCCAGTGCAAGAGGCGGGGCCCCAGACGTCCAAGTGGAGAGTCTCGAAGGGCTCAGTGGCCGGACGAAGGGAGGAGGAGTGAGGGGTGGCGCGCAGCCGACCCTCATCGCAAGGGGCGCCAGGTGGTGCATGCGAAGGCGGCAGCGACGGCAAGACTCGCGGGAGGCCTAAGACGAGACGCTGACTAGACATAGTGCGCAGGCGAGGAATGGACGGGTGAGCAAGGTGGTGGTGGTACAGAACGGTGGGGTGGGCAAGCGACCGACACGAAGAAGACGCAGCAACCGGACTAGACGCTGGAACTTGACAAGACACAGCTACCTCGTGGGAGGCGGCAACCTGGTAAGACGCGGGGACCTAACGGAGGGCAGTGACAGGGGTCGAAGGTAGCTGCTGCTGCTGCTGCTACTGTTGCTGCTGCTGTTGCTGCTGCTGCTGCTGCTGCTACCTCTCTCGGGGGCCAGTGTGAAGTGTGTAGAGACCAGAGCTCGGCTCAGCGTGAAAGGTGGCCAGGGGCGCGTACGTGTCACCGTCTACATAGGTCGAAGTGTCCGCAGAAGGCTCAATCCAAACACCCACGTGACTGTCCACGAGCGGCCTCACACCCACCAAGTTCCCGGAGAACAAGGGGACGTGAAAGCCGGTCAGGAAACCCGAGGGAACAGCCGGGCACGGAAGCGTAGTAGTGTAGCGAGCAGTGACTAGTCCTGAAGTGGGATCAGCCAATGCTACGGAGACCGGCGCAGGAAGCGGAGTAAGAGTCGTGTGGTCGCGGAAGAAACAGCTCGAAGCTCCGGAGTCCAGGTTGAAAGATTGCGAAGCGTCCTCCGGAGCAGCACCTGGACTAGTACCTAAGCAAGTACCTACACTAGCAACTGGCACAGGATCAACACTAGCACCTAAGCTAAACACACACGAGTAAACAGAGTCAAAAGCACTAGAGTCAACAACAGCATACATAGCATGAGGAGTTCCTTAGAGATCAAGCAACTGAGAAGAAGACATAGCCCACAGAGCGGCACAGTGCGAGTGAACAAGAGGAAGCCAGTCAGGGGCAAGGTCGTCCATTCCGTAGGCTGCGGGAAGAGTGTCAGTGAGCTGAGCAAAGCACTGACCCGGTGTGTGGCGGCGGTCACAGCGGAAGCCGCTGCGAGTACATGTCTGAACGATATAGGGGCAGGGAGGGTGGGCGTCACCACGTGACAGGTGACGCGGTCCTGACCCCTGCTGCTGTCCCTGCTGCTGCTGTGGCCAATGCGAGAGGAGTGGCTGCTGTTGTTGCTGCTGTCGCTGAGCCAAGTACCAAGCCGCCACTCTAGCACCTGCAGCTGGCAGTCTCGCAGGTGCCCGAATAACCCGAGCTGCACCTCCACTCGCCGCAGTAGGGGAGTCACTAGACGCGGCACCAGGCGCTCCACCAACTCCTGCACTCCCACCACCGCCGCCTGCAACGCCACCTCCGCCGCCCACAATGCCACCTCCGCCGCCTCCGCTGCCGCCCGCACCCTGGCCGCCCTTCCTGCCACACCGAACTCTAGACCGCGCAGAAGTCGTAACGGCAGCTGCGGTCACGTCAGTAGCAGCAGTGGCGAGGGAGGCAGTAAGGTGGGCAGCTGAGGGACAGTGCACCCATGGAAAAGTGGGGGGGGCACAGCGCCGGAGGCGGAGGCTACCGAGCGAAGGTTGCTCTCGACGTCCTTGAGAGGGGGGGGAGCAGTGTAAGCTGTGCGTCAGTGCAGGCAGCGCGGTAGCTAGAATCTAGTGTACGAAGGTGAGCGATCAAGTCAGCAGAGCGTTCAAACGAGGCGAGGTCAGGGAACAGGAAGGGGAGGAACAGGCGACCAAGAGAGACAGTGGTGGGAGTAGCGTAGCGGGCCTTGATCGCAGTCACGAACTCACTAGCCGTGCGAACCTGGGTGAAGTGGGTCTCCTCAGACTCAGGGAGGAGGCTGGTGAGGGCGATGCAGGCCGCATCGTTGCGCGACTTCCAGGCAGTCAGGGCAGCACGCTGACGTGCAAAACGATCTCTGTCCGCAGTGATGGGGTCAGCGCCTAAGCGTTCAGGATCGGGGGGCGCACGAAGGTCACCAGAAGCGTGCGCCCACAGGGACTCGGCAGCCTAACACTGACTCTCTAGCAGGCGCTGCGCACGGAGGAGCCAGACAGAGAACTCCAGCGGCCTACCCTCGGCATCAAAGCGCAGTACCCTAGGCGCCGCCATAGCTGATGCGGAGGGGAGGGAGCTACTGCTGCTAGGCGCCTAGAAGGCCTGAGCAGGGCGCGACACGACTGGACGGGTAGGGCGCGACGTGACGGGCAGGGAGGCGAGACGGGCGCGATGCGACGGGACGGGCAGGGCGCTACGCGACGGGCAGGGAGGCGCGACGGGCGCGAGGAGACGGGACGGGACAGGCGCGACGCGACGCGGCGGGCAGGGCGCGACGCGACGGGCAGGTAGGCGCGACGGGCTCGAGGGGACGGGACTGGACGGGCGCGACGCGACGGGATGGGCAGGGCGCGACGCGACGGGCAGGGAGGCGCGACGGGATCGAGGGGACGGGACGCGACGGGACGGGCAGGGCGCGACGCGACGGGCAGGGAGGCGCGACGGACGGGAGGGGACGGGACGGGACGGGCGCGACGCGACAGGACGGGCAGGGCGCGACGCGACTGGCAGGGAGGCACGACGAACGGGAGGGGACGGGACGGGACGCGCGCGACGCGACGGGACGGGCAGGGCGCGACACGGCGGGCAGGGAGGCGCAGCGGGCACGAGGGGATGAGACAGGACGGGCGCGACAGGCGCTAGGGGACGGTACGGGCGCAACGGGCACTAGGGTACAGGAGGATCGGGATCCCACAGGATCCTAACCTAGATGATACCATGTCAGATTCAGAAATTATGATTTGACTATTGTGGGTTGGGGTACATAAACCTAACCCTAACTGCTGTACCCCATATGACACGCATCACTAAAGGCTACAACATTTGACATTCTCCTTCATGCTAATGCATCCATTCCTGCCTCATGATTCTGACATGGTTTCAGAGCACATAGGTCTCTAGGACCAAAAAATTTAGGGCCCACCGTTCGTTCTGCCCTGCCCGTTTTTATTTCTTCCCTGGCCCTAACGATCGCGACCCCGCGTTCGCGTCTGCCATGCCTCGTGCGCTGCCCTGCCCGCGCTGCCCTGCAGCCCGTGCGCCCTGCGGCCCGCGCTCCTGCGCGCCCTGCCCGCGCGCCCTGCCGCTCGCGCTGCCCTGCAGCTCCCCGCACCCTGCTGCCCGCGCCCCACGCGCCCTGCAGCCCACGCGCTGCCCTGCCCGCGCTGCCCTGCAGCTAGTGCGCCCTGCAGCCCGCGCTGCCCTGCAGCCCGTGCGACTGCGTTGCCCGCGCTCAGCGTGCCCTGCTGTCTGCGCCCTACTGCCCGCGCGCTACCCTGCCCGCGGTGCCCTGCGTCCTGCAGCCCGCGCGTCCGCACGCCCTGCCTGCGCGTCCTGCTGCCCACGCCATGTGCGCCCTGCCGCGCCCCGCGCGCCCTGCTGCCCCCGCCCCGCGCGCCCTACAGCCCGCGCGTTGCCCTGCCCGCGCGCCCTGCAGTCCGCTCTGCCCTGCAGCCCGCACGCCTGCGCTGCCCGCGCTCGCGTGCTCTGCTGCCTGCTCCCCACGCGCCCTGCTGCCCGCGGGCTACCCTGCCCGCGCTACCCTGCCCGCGCTACCCTGCATCCTGCAGCCCGCGCGTCCGCACGCCCTGCCTGCGCGTCCTGCAGCCCGCGCTGCCCTGCAGCCCGCGCGCCTGCGCTGCCCGCGCCCTATGCGCCCTGCCGCGCCCCGCGCGCTCTGCAGCCCACGCGCTGCCCTGCCTGCGTGCCCTGCAGCCCGCACTACCCTGCAGCCCGCACGCCTGCGCTGCCCACGCCCCGCGCGCTCTGCTGCGCCCCGCGCGCCCTGCTGCCCGCGCCCCGGGCGCCCTGCTTCTCCTGCGCCCTGCAGCCCGCGCGCGCATACTGCCCCGCGCGACCTGCTGCCCCGCGCGCCCTGCAGCTCCTGCCCCCGCGCACTGCCCTAGCCACTACATCTGCCACAGTCGCAGCACCTCCCACTACTACAGCTGCCGCCATCTCTGCTGCTGACTGCCATTGCCCGTCACGGCCACGCCGCCGGTCTTAGCGGTTGACGCCGATTGACGCCCGTACAGGTTAGGCTTGAGGCTTATGTGCCTGCGCGTGCATCTCCGGCGTTTCATTAGCGATAGCGTCTCCCTACTCAAGCACACATTGGGGTCCCTTCCGGCCCCCACGACTCCCACTGAGCTTGCTGTTGACGCTGGCGAGGACGTGCAGAGGCGGTACCGGGCAGACAGCCTTGCCTACAGACAGTGGACGGAACGCGGCGCTGTCGCACAGCCGTCCGAGCTCTCCTACCGGTCGATCAGAGGGATCACTTTCAACAGGTGACGTCAGCCCAGACTTTGTTCGACGCTGTTGTTAGACACTACTCCTCCCTCTCTCCTGCCACCCGGCCACTACAGCAGAGCCGTCCGTTGTGAGGGGAGGTGCAGCTGCTGGTACTGGAGGTACTGGAGCTGGAGGTACGGGAGCTACTGGTGCTAGAGGTGCTGGAGCTGGAGGCGCTGGAGGTGCTGTAGCTGGAGGTACTGGAGGTACTGGAGCTACTGGTGCTGGAGGTGCTGGAGGTGCTGGCGTTGGACAATAGCAGCAGTCTCGTCGACAGGAGACTCTCTCGCCTCAGCAGCTTTGCGAGTGGGTTATTCGGCAAGGCCGCTCTGGTTGGGGTCCTGGTGCTGGAGGTGCTAGACCTGGAGGTACTGGAGGTGTCGGAGCTGGAGGTACTGGAGGTAATGGAGCTGCTGGTACTGAAGGTGCTGGAGCTGGAGGTAGTGGAGTTGGAGGTGCTGGAGGTGCTGGAGCTAGAGGTACTGGAGGTGCTGGAGCTAGAGATAGTGGGGGTACTGGAGCTGGAGGTGGTGGAGGTACTGGAGCTACTGGTGCTGGAGGTACTGGAGCTGCTGGTGCTGGAGGTGCTGTAGCTGGAGGTGCTGGAGGTACTGGAGCTACTAATGCTGGAGGTTCTAGAGCTGGAGGTACTGGAGGTACCGGAGCTGCTGGTGATGGAGGTGCTGGAGCTGGAGGTGCTGGAGCTGCTGGAGGTACTGGTGCTGGAGGTACTGGAGCTGGAAACTCTGGTACTGTGGGTACTGCGCACCGGCGACCGTTTTTCTTCCCGCAACTGCAGTCGTCACTGCCACCACCTGACTCGGCACTTCGCCAGGTTCGTAGTCTTCCGTCTTCCACTGGCCTTACTCCACCTCTCCTGTGTCCTCCACCTGACCAGTCACAGCCACTGTTACTACCTGGCTCCCCACTGCCTGCTCCTTCTCCTTACCCTGCGCAGACTGGCTCCCTGGCAGAGCGTCGTGAGCTTGAGTCTCATCTTGCCTCCCCTGTTCGCACTGTCAGTCGTGCTCGTCATGCTCGTCCTCCACCTGTCCCCGGCACGCACACTATGGCACTTCGTCCTTCCTCTGTTCCACCGCGTGTTGCTCTGCCGTCTCCTCCAGCGTCCTCTCTTCCTGACGTTCCTGACCCTGAGTCCGACCTTGCTTGTGCTGCTAGTCCTACTGTCACTCGTTTCCTAGCCACTCTTATCACTGACCCTTCCTTTGAGTCTACTGTTGCGTCTGCCTTAGTCACTGAGCTCGTAGACTTTGCTGCTACCTGTCGTCTCGACTACGTCGCGAATCTTGTTACGGAGTTTGAGTCTGACTGTCCTCCGTCCGTCGGGGGTGAGCTTGCACTTGGCAGTGACGTGATTGGCGACAGGCAGTTTGAGCTTGAGTGCCTCGCGGCTGATGTACCTCATCTCGCATTCATACTACTTTGCCATGAGGGACACCTGAATGCAGTAGACATCCCGACCCCGCACACTCACGCAGAGGCGATCACGGGTGAGTACTCCTCTCAGTGCCAGACAGCCATGGATGCAGAGATGGCTTCCTGGAAGTCCACAAGCACCTACGTTGACGAGGTTCCCCCTCCTGGGGCGAACATAGTCGATGGCATGTGGATTTTCAGAGTGAAGCGGCCGCAGTGTTTAGGGTAGCTGTAGTGTAGAAAAAATGCTTTCCTGTTGGTGGTGTACTTTCTTTGCTTGACATATTTCTATTTATATTGCTTGGTCTCTAGTGAATCCTTCTTTTAGGCCAAACTATTCTCTCGATACTCACGCTCCATAGCTAACCCATGGTTCTACCGTATCTTGACATGCTACTACCGTATCTTGACATGCTATCTGTCAAAGTTATATTTATATTGTTAGTTAGCCTGTAGTGAGGTGCTTTTTAAGGGGTTCAATATTTCTCTCGACAGTCTAGTCCGCGTCGACGACTTGGTCTTTGCTACAGCAGACAGGGCCGCTCTGTCTGAGGTGAAGTCCGAACTGAAGAAGAGACCCACGTGCACTGACCTTGGTGAGCTGCGTCGCTACCTTGGCTTGCAGATCACTAGGGATAGCGCAGCTCGCACCATTACACTCTCATAGTCACACATGGTGCAGCAGGTCCTTCAACGGTTCGGGCTTCAGCACTCCACCACACAGCCCACTCCACTTGCCGTTGACCACAGACTCACCGGACCTTTCCCGACGAGCCCTTTGAGTCTAGTGGTCCCTACGTAGAGCTTGTGGGCTGCCTCATGTACCTGATGACTTGTACTCGTCCGGACCTCGCCTTTCCTCTCAGCGTCATCTCTCGATTTGTTGCGACAGGGAGACACCGTCCTGTTCACTGGATAGCTGCTGTGAGGGTGGCGAAGTACCTGGCGACTATATCAGGCATGGGGTTTGTGCTTGGAGGGAGACAACCAGTTGTCTTGACTAGTCACTCCGACTCTTCCTACGCCGACGACGTGGAGACACAGAGACCACTCAGGGGTACTGCTTCAGCTTCGGAGCTGGAGCTGTGTCGTGGAGGTCTACTCGGTCGTCGTCTGTGGCTTCGTCCAGTGCAGAGCAGAGATCTACGCTGGTGCCATGGCTGCGCAGGAGCTTCGCTGGTTGACTTTCTTGCTCGCCGACCTTGGTGAGCGGCCTCGCTCTGCACCGACCTTGTTTACTGACAACAAGGCCATGATCCTTCTGTGTCGAGAGCCTCGACTGGAGAGCAGAGTGAAGCACATTGACGTGAGGTACTTTCTTCTGCGAAAGTTGCAGTGACACGGCCAGGCACGCTTGGACTCCGTGGCCTCAGAGGCCAACACTGCAGACATCTTCATCAAGGCCCTAGCGCCTAGTGACCATCACAGGTTCTGTCTGCAGTTGGGCCTTGTTGACTCTGGTGCTAGGTTGCTGTTGTTGAAAGTAGAAGCGAAGTAGTATTGAAGAAGTGGGTTTGACCTAGCAGGCAGGTGGGATACATAGGGAAACCCTAAAAGGTTGGTACTCACTGTTGAGTACCCCACTACAGCCTACACAACAAATAACAGTTTGACACACCCCCATAGGCAAAGTGGGGTATAGCCAACAGAACAAGCAGTCACAGAACCAGTTCATAGGCAAAAACTGGTGGCAGAAGCAGAGGGCAAGTGAGAAGGAGGAGGAAACTGGAGAGGAGAGGAGGTGGGCGGCCGCTGAAGCTGCTGGCACTGGTCGCAAACGGCGTAACTGGCTCTGCTCGCCGGCAAGAGCAACTGACCCTCTGGGGACCGGAGCAACGGGTAACCGGAGTAACTGGCTCGCTCGCCGGCAAGAGCAACTGACCCACGGGCCTCTGACGCAACGGTCTCACGGGCGACTAGAGCGGCGGACTTCACGGCGGCCACCCGCCCTCAACCCCTCGTATTCTCCCACCCCCCCCATGTCACACCCCTCGGCCCTAGCGCCACTCCCAAGTCTCCCCCACACCCTCCCCCCCCTTCAGCTGCAGCTGCAGCAGTGGGAGAGAGAGGAGGAGCGGCAGCTCAACACGCACGCCCGCCACCCCCATACCCCCCCCCACGGCTGCAGGCGCAGCAGGGAGATGGAGTCGAGGGGGCGGGGTAGGAGCTGCTCCACGGCTGCTCGTGGGCTGAAAACCGCCGCCCCCCCGAGACGCGCGGGGGCACAGGGCGGCTCGCGGGTCCCACAGGGGCGGCGCGTGGGTCCCACGGGGGCGACGCGCGGGTCCACGGGGGCGACACGCGGGTCCACGGGGGCGACGCGCGGGCCCCACGGGGACGTCGCGCGGGTCGACGGGGGCGACGCGCGGGTCCCACGGGGCGGCGCGAGGGGTGCACGGGGGCGACGCGACGGGTGGGAAACCGCCGCGCGGCTCGGGGCGCGCGGGGGGCAGAAAACCGCCGCGCACCACGGGGCGCGCGGGGGGCAGAAAAATGTCGCGCGCTAGCGGAAGCAGTAGGGCCCATCCACAGGATCGACCAAGGAGGGTCGACCTGCTCTGATAGCATGTCGAAAGTAGAAGCGAAGTAGTAATGAAGAAGTGGGTTTGAAGAAGCAGGCAGGTGGGATACATATAGGAAACCCTAAAAGGGTTGTACTCACTGTTGAGTATCCCACTACAGCATACACAACAAATAACAGTTTGACAGCTGTAGCATTATTTCTTCTTGCTTGCTCTGCTTGTCCTTGCACCTATATATATTTGTAAACTCTTGAACTGGCCTTGTGACCGTTTTACTTGTGCTCGAAATGTGTGGTGATCTTGAGATCCACCATACGCGTTGTCTTGTTCCTTCTCTTGACTGGTCTTGTGACCATGTGTGTTTATTGCTCTCTCTTGCTATTCTTGACTTAGCCTATGGGGGTGTGTCAAACATATATATTTGTATGTTCTAATCTGTAGTGATGCATGCATTAGAGAGTATAGGTTGTTAGGGTTTGCATTTGTACCCACCTACTTTCCTAATCAATCATTCCGTTGTGTTCACTTTCTGAGATAAAGAGACTATGATGTGAAACTGATAATACAATGAAAGTGCTAGCAATTATAGGGCGAACCCTGGCTAGGCGAGGTCCTCAGTCGTGCGAGGTTTGGAAGTGTCGCAATTGGTGCGGGCGACTCGGAGCTGGTTCGGGGCGAAAGTGTAGGCAGAGCCACACTGACGCGAAGTGCTCGGGACATCCCCGCTATTGTAAGTCCTACATGAGCTGTAATGTTACAGGGCCCTGACCTACAGCTAACGAAACCGTTTGATGTCGCCAACAGGTTCGCTTTGTCCTCGTAAGCAACCTCTCGCATGCTTTCAGACTCCCAAACAAGCAACCCCATAAACCCTAGTCCAAGGCGTAAACCCTCGGTCAACTGTGGTCTCGATAGCTCACGAGATGCGTGAGAGTGTGCGCAATCACATGCTGAGCTGGCACGATCGAGCATTGGCTGAGCTGGGAGAGGCCGCGCCACGGACATGACTCTCGCGCTCTCCGCTGTTTCCGCCGCAACTCGCGTTCAGTCGCACCTCTGCGTGCACTCCGCGCTCCGCCAGCGGCTGTGGCGGACGCATAAATTAATCACCCGATCGTCTAACAGAAATACGAACGTATCATCGAACGGATCACCATTCACCAGGTCATTGAACGGATTGTCTAACGGCTTGTCTAACGGATCTTATAACGGATCGTCGCCGTCTGATTCTGATTCTCGCGCACCGACGCGGTCCGACCGTCTCGTCGCCGGATCGCGTTCCCTCGCGACCCTTGCCGTTCCTCGTAGAGCGTTACTTTTCCCGTCGCTGCGGCATAGCCACCCACCCAGGGCGCCGACTCCTGCTAGAGCTGGTCGGGTAATCTCGGAATTAACCCCAGATTTTGGAGGGAGTTCTGAGCAACCACCTTTTGGATCCTCCTTAAAAGCTTCAGTAGAATCTTCCGTAGAACCCTCCGTATTAGGAACCGCTGTAGCGCAGGGAGCACCCGTTAGGAAGCGGCGCGTGCGGACGTCGAAATCGGCCAGCGCGACTGACGGAGCTGCGGATGACGCGGCAGTTCCACGTGACGGTGATTCAGTGATCCCACGTGGCAGCGAGTCGGTGAATGCGCTAGATTCTTCCGTAGGCCAAGAAAGTGTTACGCGCGTAATTGGCAGGCGAGGGCGACGCGCGGCCAGTAACGAAACTGCTGGTAGCGAGGATTCGGGTGCGGGGACGGCTGCAGCCAGCGGAAGCGGAAAGCGGACGCGCGGCCGGCCGCGGAAAAAGGCGGAAGAGGGAACGGCGGAAGCGGAGAAACCGCCGTCCAAACTGAAGGCCGGGGCGGAAGGGAACTCGGGCGGAGGAGAATTGTCAGCTGGAGCAGCACTAGGGCTAGTAACAGGCTCGGGCTCAGGCTTGGGCTCAGGCTCGGGCTCAGGCACGGTAGAGAAATCTGGCAGCAGGCTAGTTGAGGGGAGAGTTGAAGCAGACGTTGAAGGCCCACCGAAAGTCTTGGAGTCGAGTAGAATAACAAAAGCCGCTGTGATCGAGGGGAAAGCTGTAGCAGACGCTGAAGGTGCACCGAAGAAGGCAGGAAAGGGTAGGTGGAGCGCGGACGAGCTCTTGCTGTCTCGCGGGCTGAGCACACAGGCTGTAGCAGCGCCCTCCCCGGCTGTAGCAGGTCCCTCCCCGGCTGTGGCAGGGAGAGAGTTTCAGGGTGTAAGATCTGCGTACGCTAAACGAGTTAGCTATAGCGCGGACGGAACGCGCCGGGAGCGAGGTGAAGGAGGAGCGGCGGGCGGGATGAGAGGAGCCGCAGCGGGCGGGGGAAACAGGGGGAGGCAAGGCGCTGACGTGGCAGCAGGGGGAAGAGCGGACAGAGCAGCGGATGCGGGTCTCCAGGCCAGGGGGAAGGGCGGACGGGGGAAGGGAAGGGGCGGAGGCGGAGGCGGAGACGGGGGGGAGAAAGGTGGGGGGAAGGGCGGGAGGGGAGGCGGAGGGGGAGGCGGAGGGGGAGGCGGAGGGGGAGGCGGAGCAGTCGGGGGGGCGGGGGGAGAGAAGCTGGCGCAGAACAGGACTGCTTATCTGCAGGTGCTGGGGACGGGTATGGACACGGGGGATACTTCCCCGTGCGTGCTGCTGTTCTTCGAGCGGCTGCGCCTGGTGTTCAACGCGGGCGAGGGGCTGCAGCGCCTCTGCATTGAGCACCGGATTCGCCTGTCAAAGGTGGGCAGGGGTTTCGGGTTTAAGGTGCTGGGGACGGGTATGGACACTTCCCCCTGCGTGCTGCTATTCTTCGAGCGGCTGCGTCTGGTGTTCAACGCGGGCGAGGGGCTGCAGCGCCTCTGCATTGAGCACCGCATCCGCCTGTCAAAGGTGAGCAGGGGGTTAGGGTTCAAGGAGTTTGGGGATCTGAACTGACTCGGGGGACACGTCTCCCTGCGTGCTGCTGTTTTTCGAGCGGCTGCGCCTGGTGTTCAACGCAGGCGAGGGGCTGCAGCGCCTCTGCATAGAGCACCGCATCCGCCTGTCAAAGGTGGGCAGGGGTTTAGGGTTTAATGTCTGTGGGTGGGGAAACAGGTTCAAGGGTTGGGGGCTGCGTCTGGTGTTCAACGCGGGCGAGGGGCTGCAGCGCCTCTGCATTGAGCACCGCATCCGCCTCTCCAAGGTGGGCCAGGGGTTTTTGAGTTGGTTGAAGTTCTGGTCTTGGGTGTTAGGTGCAAGATTCGGGTTGAGCGGGTGCAGCACCTCTGCATCGAACACCCCATCAGCCTCTCCAAGATGAGGGGAGTGGGAGGGTGGTCTTGGGTTCAGGGTTTTAAGTCAGGGGTCGAGATGTAACGTACATCGTCCAGGGTTTGATGCATCATACACACAGAGGTTGCAGCTAATTTGCATCATACACACAGAGGCTGCAGCTAATTTGCATCATACACACAGAGGTTGCAGCTAATTTGCATCATACACACAGAGGCTGCAGCTAATTTGCATCATACACACAGAGGCTGCAGCTAATTTGCATCATACACACAGAGGCTGCAGCTAATCTGCATCATACACACAGAGGCTGCAGCTAATTTGCATCATACACACAGAGGCTGCAGCTAATTTGCATCTCCCGCGTGTGCACCGAGACAGCTGAGGGGTGGCTGCCAGGCATGCTGCTGACACCTTCCTCTTAACACCACCCCCCATCCCATGCACCTTACCCCATCCCCATTCCCCTGGGGACAAGGGATTTCTCTCCCGCGTGTGCACCGAGACGGCAGGGGGTTTGCCAGGCATGCTGCTGACAAATCTCCGCTCTTCCCCCCACCCAACCTCCCTCGTTACTCCCTCTTCTTGAACCCTCAGGTGGACAAGATATTTCTCTCCCGCGTGTGCACTGAGACAGCTGGTGGGCTGCCAGGCATGCTGCTGACAAATATTTTCCTTCCTCCTTTTCCTTCCCCTTTCTCCCTCCGCTCTCCCCTTCCCTCCTCCTCCCCCCACCTTACTAAAACCCCATCAGGTGGACAAGATATTTCTCTCCCGCGTGTGCACTGAGACAGCTGGTGGGCTGCCAGGCATGCTGCTGACGCTCGCCAACACGGGGGAAACGGGCATTACTGTGAGTGAGGGTTTAAGGATCAGGGCTTTGGGGATAGGGGGGGGAGAGACAGCTGATGGGCATCACAGTGAGTGAGGGTTGAAGGGAAAGGAGGAGGGACAGCTTGTTTAAGGGGTAGGAGGAGGGACAGCTTGTTTAAGGGATAGGAGGAGGGACAGCTTGTTTAAGGGATAGGAGGAGGGACAGCTTGTTTAAGGGATAGGAGGAGGGACAGCTTGTTTAAGGGATAGGAGGAGGGACAGCTGGGTTTAAGGGATAGGAGGAAGGACAGGTGGGTTTAAGGGATAGGAGGAGGGACAGCTGGGGGCCTGCTAGGCATGCTGCTGCCGCTTGCCAACACGGCGAGAAACTGGCATTACTCTGAGTTAGGGAAACTGGCATCAATATTGTCCCAAGATCAATGCAATGGGAGAAGCTCTGCTTGCAGCTTTACTTTTACATCTCCGTTGCGTGCATGTTGATTGCTATGTACGCGTGCAGTGAGTCGATTTTTGAGTCGACTAAAAAATCGACTCACTACACGCATGTTGATTGCTATGTATCCGCTTCTTAAGCCGATTACAGAATCTTCAATTTCCTGCTAAACCCTGAGCCCTTTATTCCGCTCCCCCCGCCCTTCCTCTCCCCCCCCCCCCTCCACCGTCCCCTCTCTCCCCTGTTCCTCCCACCACTTTCTCCTTCTCCCTACTCCTCAAGCTTCTCCTCTGGCTGTCTGCCGGGTGGACATGACATGTGTGGGCCGTCATATTTCCCTTCATCCTGACTTTTGAGTCGACTCAAAAGCTTCTCCTCTGGCTGTCTGTCGGGTGGACAGGAATTTGTGGGCCGTCATATTTCCCTTCATCCTCCACTGTCTCTCTCCCCCCCCACACCCCCGCTTCTCCACCTCAAATCCCCTCCTCCCCGGTTCTGCCAGGTGGACATCTGTGGGCCGTCGGATCTGCATCGGCTGGCAGCAGCCATGCGGTGCTTCGTGGGCGCAGCTTCGGTCCGAACCTCCAGCTTCGGCAGCAGCAGCCCTGGGCGCCAGTCGTACCCCCACGCGCCCCTCCCTGCTTTCTACAATGGAGCACAGCAGCAGCAGGTGCTGGGGTTGGGGCAGGGGCAGGGAAGGGAAGCAGATATGCAGGAGCAGGCGCAGGGTGGGGAAGGAGGGGTGATGAGAGAGCAGCAGGCAGAAAGGGAGAGCGGGAGGGAGAGGGAGAGGGAGGACAAGAGTGCGTACATTGTGCATGATGATGGGGACGTGAAGATAACTGCTGTGCTGCTCGAACCAGCGGTGCCATCTGTGGCAGCAGAAAGTGCTGCAGCAGCAGCAGGATTATCCGTTTCCCTCACAACCACCACGAATATCAGCAGCAGCATCGCCCTCCCTTCGCCATCCGCGTCCCTCAAGGAATTGACTCTCTCGCAACTGAAGGGAGGAGGAGCGACAGGAGAGGGAGTGACAGAAGAGGGAGCAGCAGCAGGCACTGATCCTGCCATCACCACAGGCGCTACAGTCCCCTCAGCCAAGCGCCCCAGCCCTTCCGGCCCTGCTGACGTCAGCAGCGGGTGGGACACAGTCAGCGCCGGAAGCGAGAAAAGGGCGAGGGTGGAGGGAGAGAGAAAGGAAGAAGCCGGAAGGGGGTTCGATGGGGCTAGAAAGGGAGCAGCAGCGTCGGGTTTAGCTTCGGGAGCAACATTCGGAGGAGCAGCAGCAGAGATTGAAGCAGCAGGGATGGGAGCAGCAGCGGGAGGAATTGCATCGGTGGTGTATGTGTGCGAGCTGCCGACAGCAGCAGGGAGGTTTGACCCGAAGCGCGCAGCAGCCATGGGCATTCGTCCCGGGCCCAAGTACCGGCGATTGCAGATGGGGGAGAGCGCGCCCTCAGACGATGGAAGCAGGACGGTGAGTTGTTGAGTGAGTGCGGAAGGGGAGGGTGGGTGGGTGGGAGAGTGTGAATTGCAGGATGGGAGCAAGCGCGCAGCAGCAGCCATGGGCATCCGCCCCGGCCCCAAGTACCGGCGCCTGCAGATGGGAGAGAGCGTTGCTAGTGACGATGGGAGCAAGATGGTGAGTGAGGGCATGAGGGAGGTAGGGAGTTTAGAGTGCAGTACGTGTGTGCATTGCAGGCTTGGAGCAAGCAAGCGCGCAGCAGCCATGGGCATTCGCCCCGGCCCCAATTACCGCCGATTGCAGATGGGGGAGAGCGCTGCTAGTGACGATGGGAGCACGATGGTGAGTGGTGCATGGAGGTCGAAAAGTGGTGGGGGTGTGCATTGCTGGGAGCAAGTGAGCAGCAGCCATGGGCATTCGCCCTGGTCCCAAGTACCGGCGCCTGCAGATGGGGGAGAGCGTTCCTAGTGACGATGGGAGCACCATGGTGAGTGCATGTGTGTGTTGCGTGGTGTGTGTGGGTGGGAGTGCGCTATGCAGGCTGGGAGCATGTGACTAGCAGCAGCCATGGGCATTGGGCTTGGTCCCAAGTACCGGCGCCTGCAGATGGGGGAGAGCGCTCCTAGTGACGATGGGAGCATGATGGTGAGTGAGATCTTGAGGGAGTGTGTGTGTGATGGTGTGTGTGTGTGTGTGTGTGTGTGTGTGTGTGTGTGTGTGTGCGTGGGCGAGGGTGTGTGTGGGAGCTAGCAAGCCACAGGTTGGTACTAGCAGCACAGCGACGATAACGGGGGTGACAATAACAGCAGCAGGTTATAGACTGTCTTAGTCTTTTCACACACTCTCCTCTCCCCTTTCTCCCTTCCCCTCAGGTTCATCCTTCTGACGTGCTCGAAGCATCGATACCAGGCCCCGTTGTCCTCCTTATAGACTGCCCCACTGCAAGCCACACGCAAGCCCTCCTGCAGTCGCCGCAGCTGCAGCGATTCTGCATCAGCCACTGCCAGAAACCCACAAGTGACAATAACGGGGATGACAATATGAAGGGTGACAATAACGGGAGTGACTATAAAGAGGTGACAGTGGCTGTCCACGTGAGCCCTGAAGCTGTGGTGGAGGAGGAGCAGTATCGGCGGTGGATGGGCATGCTGGGACCCAACACCACTCATGTGTTAGCCGGCCAAGGCAGGTAAGCTTTCGAAAGCACTGCACATGTACTGGCAGGGTATGGCAGGTAGAGCAGTATCGGCGGTGGATGGGCGTGCTGGGACCCAACACTACACACATGTTAGCCGGCCACGGCAGGTAAGGTTACGGCTAGTAAGGGTCACACATCGGCGTGTGCTGCTCAGCTGGCAGTGCATGTGAGCCCTGACCAGAGGGGGTGGTGGAGGAGGAGCAGTATCGGCGGTGGATGGGTATGCTGGGTGCCAACACTACACACGTGTTAGCCGGGCACGGCAGGTAAGGGCACACATGTGGTAGCCTGTTAGCAGGGCACAGCAGGGAAGGGCACACATGTGGTAGCCTGTTAGCAGGGCACAGCAGGTAAGGGCACACATGTGGTAGCCTGTTAGCAGGGCACAGCAGGTAAGGGCACACATGTGGTAGCCTGTTAGCAGGGCAAGGCAGGTAAGGGCACACATGTGGTAGCCTGTTAGCAGGGCACAGCAGGTAAGGGCACACATGTGGTAGCCTGTTAGCAGGGCACAGCAGGTAAGGGCACACATGTGGTAGCCTGTTAGCAGGGCACGGCAGGTAAGGGCACACATGTGGTAGCCTGTTAGCAGGGCACAGCAGGTAAGGGCACACATGTGGTAGCCTGTTAGCAGGGCACAGCAGGGAAGGGCACACATGTGGTAGCCTGTTAGCAGGGCACAGCAGGGAAGGGCACACATGTGGTAGCCTGTTAGCAGGGCACAGCAGGTAAGGGCACACATGTGGTAGCCTGTTAGCAGGGCACAGCAGGTAAGGGCACACATGTGGTAGCCTGTTAGCAGGGCACAGCAGGTAAGGGCACACATGTGGTAGCCTGTTAGCAGGGCACGGCAGGTAAGGGCACACATGTGGTAGCCTGTTAGCAGGGCACAGCAGGTAAGGGCACACATGTGGTAGCCTGTTAGCAGGGCACAGCAGGTAAGGGCACACATGTGGTAGCCTGTTAGCAGGGCACAGCAGGTAAGGGCACACATGTGGTAGCCTGTTAGCAGGGCACAGCAGGTAAGGGCACACATGTGGTAGCCTGTTAGCAGGGCACAGCAGGTAAGGGCACACATGTGGTAGCCTGTTAGCAGGGCACAGCAGGTAAGGGCACACATGTGGTAGCCTGTTAGCAGGGCACAGCAGGTAAGGGCACACATGTGGTAGCCTGTTAGCAGGGCACAGCAGGTAAGGGCACACATGTGGTAGCCTGTTAGCAGGGCACAGCAGGTAAGGGCACACATGTGGTAGCCTGTTAGCAGGGCACGGCAGGTAAGGGCACACATGTGGTAGCCTGTTAGCAGGGCACAGCAGGTAAGGGCACACATGTGGTAGCCTGTTAGCAGGGCACAGCAGGTAAGGGCACACATGTGGTAGCCTGTTAGCAGGGCACAGCAGGTAAGGGCACACATGTGGTAGCCTGTTAGCAGGGCACAGCAGGTAAGGGCACGCATGTGGTAGCCTGTTAGCAGGGCACAGCAGGTAAGGGCACACATGTGGTAGCCTGTTAGCAGGGCACAGCAGGTAAGGGCACACATGTGGTAGCCTGTTAGCAGGGCACAGCAGGTAAGGGCACACATGTGGTAGCCTGTTAGCAGGGCACAGCAGGTAAGGGCACACATGTGGTAGCCTGTTAGCAGGGCACAGCAGGTAAGGGCACACATGTGGTAGCCTGTTAGCAGGGCACAGCAGGTAAGGGCACACATGTGGTAGCCTGTTAGCAGGGCACGGCAGGTAAGGGCACACATGTGGTAGCCTGTTAGCAGGGCACAGCAGGTAAGGGCACACATGTGGTAGCCTGTTAGCAGGGCACAGCAGGTAAGGGCACACATGTGGTAGCCTGTTAGCAGGGCACAGCAGGTAAGGGCACACATGTGGTAGCCTGTTAGCAGGGCACAGCAGGTAAGGGCACACATGTGGTAGCCTGTTAGCAGGGCACGGCAGGTAAGGGCACACATGTGGTAGCCTGTTAGCAGGGCACAGCAGGTAAGGGCACACATGTGGTAGCCTGTTAGCAGGGCACAGCAGGTAAGGGCACACATGTGGTAGCCTGTTAGCAGGGCACAGCAGGTAAGGGCACACATGTGGTAGCCTGTTAGCAGGGCACAGCAGGTAAGGGCACACATGTGGTAGCCTGTTAGCAGGGCACGGCAGGTAAGGGCACACATGTGGTAGCCTGTTAGCAGGGCACAGCAGGTAAGGGCACACATGTGGTAGCCTGTTAGCAGGGCACGGCAGGTAAGGGCACACATGTGGTAGCCTGTTAGCAGGGCACAGCAGGTAAGGGCACACATGTGGTAGCCTGTTAGCAGGGCACAGCAGGTAAGGGCACACATGTGGTAGCCTGTTAGCAGGGCACAGCAGGTAAGGGCACACATGTGGTAGCCTGTTAGCAGGGCACGGCAGGTAAGGGCACACATGTGGTAGCCTGTTAGCAGGGCACAGCAGGTAAGGGCACACATGTGGTAGCCTGTTAGCAGGGCACAGCAGGTAAGGGCACACATGTGGTAGCCTGTTAGCAGGGCACAGCAGGTAAGGGCACACATGTGGTAGCCTGTTAGCAGGGCACAGCAGGTAAGGGCACACATGTGGTAGCCTGTTAGCAGGGCACAGCAGGTAAGGGCACACATGTGGTAGCCTGTTAGCAGGGCACAGCAGGTAAGGGCACACATGTGGTAGCCTGTTAGCAGGGCACAGCAGGTAAGGGCACACATGTGGTAGCCTGTTAGCAGGGCACAGCAGGTAAGGGCACACATGTGGTAGCCTGTTAGCAGGGCACAGCAGGTAAGGGCACACATGTGGTAGCCTGTTAGCAGGGCACAGCAGGTAAGGGCACACATGTGGTAGCCTGTTAGCAGGGCACGGCAGGTAAGGGCACACATGTGGTAGCCTGTTAGCAGGGCACAGCAGGTAAGGGCACACATGTGGTAGCCTGTTAGCAGGGCACGGCAGGTAAGGGCACACATGTGGTAGCCTGTTAGCAGGGCACAGCAGGTAAGGGCACACATGTGGTAGCCTGTTAGCAGGGCACAGCAGGTAAGGGCACACATGTGGTAGCCTGTTAGCAGGGCACAGCAGGTAAGGGCACACATGTGGTAGCCTGTTAGCAGGGCACGGCAGGTAAGGGCACACATGTGGTAGCCTGTTAGCAGGGCACAGCAGGTAAGGGCACACATGTGGTAGCCTGTTAGCAGGGCACAGCAGGTAAGGGCACACATGTGGTAGCCTGTTAGCAGGGCACAGCAGGTAAGGGCACACATGTGGTAGCCTGTTAGCAGGGCACAGCAGGTAAGGGCACACATGTGGTAGCCTGTTAGCAGGGCACAGCAGGTAAGGGCACACATGTGGTAGCCTGTTAGCAGGGCACAGCAGGTAAGGGCACACATGTGGTAGCCTGTTAGCAGGGCACAGCAGGTAAGGGCACACATGTGGTAGCCTGTTAGCAGGGCACAGCAGGTAAGGGCACACATGTGGTAGCCTGTTAGCAGGGCACAGCAGGTAAGGGCACACATGTGGTAGCCTGTTAGCAGGGCACAGCAGGTAAGGGCACACATGTGGTAGCCTGTTAGCAGGGCACGGCAGGTAAGGGCACACATGTGGTAGCCTGTTAGCAGGGCACAGCAGGTAAGGGCACACATGTGGTAGCCTGTTAGCAGGGCACAGCAGGTAAGGGCACACATGTGGTAGCCTGTTAGCAGGGCACGGCAGGTAAGGGCACACATGTGGTAGCCTGTTAGCAGGGCACAGCAGGTAAGGGCACACATGTGGTAGCCTGTTAGCAGGGCACGGCAGGTAAGGGCACACATGTGGTAGCCTGTTAGCAGGGCACAGCAGGTAAGGGCACACATGTGGTAGCCTGTTAGCAGGGCACAGCAGGTAAGGGCACACATGTGGTAGCCTGTTAGCAGGGCACAGCAGGTAAGGGCACACATGTGGTAGCCTGTTAGCAGGGCACGGCAGGTAAGGGCACACATGTGGTAGCCTGTTAGCAGGGCACAGCAGGTAAGGGCAAAAATGTGGTAGCCTGTTAGCAGGGCACAGCAGGTAAGGGCACACATGTGGTAGCCTGTTAGCAGGGCACAGCAGGTAAGGGCACACATGTGGTAGCCTGTTAGCAGGGCACAGCAGGTAAGGGCACACATGTGGTAGCCTGTTAGCAGGGCACAGCAGGTAAGGGCACACATGTGGTAGCCTGTTAGCAGGGCACAGCAGGTAAGGGCACACATGTGGTAGCCTGTTAGCAGGGCACAGCAGGTAAGGGCACACATGTGGTAGCCTGTTAGCAGGGCACAGCAGGTAAGGGCACACATGTGGTAGCCTGTTAGCAGGGCACAGCAGGTAAGGGCACACATGTGGTAGCCTGTTAGCAGGGCACAGCAGGTAAGGGCACACATGTGGTAGCCTGTTAGCAGGGCACGGCAGGTAAGGGCACACATGTGGTAGCCTGTTAGCAGGGCACAGCAGGTAAGGGCACACATGTGGTAGCCTGTTAGCAGGGCACGGCAGGTAAGGGCACACATGTGGTAGCCTGTTAGCAGGGCACAGCAGGTAAGGGCACACATGTGGTAGCCTGTTAGCAGGGCACAGCAGGTAAGGGCACACATGTGGTAGCCTGTTAGCAGGGCACGGCAGGTAAGGGCACACATGTGGTAGCCTGTTAGCAGGGCACAGCAGGTAAGGGCACACATGTGGTAGCCTGTTAGCAGGGCACAGCAGGTAAGGGCACACATGTGGTAGCCTGTTAGCAGGGCACAGCAGGTAAGGGCACACATGTGGTAGCCTGTTAGCAGGGCACAGCAGGTAAGGGCACACATGTGGTAGCCTGTTAGCAGGGCACAGCAGGTAAGGGCACACATGTGGTAGCCTGTTAGCAGGGCACAGCAGGTAAGGGCACACATGTGGTAGCCTGTTAGCAGGGCACGGCAGGTAAGGGCACACATGTGGTAGCCTGTTAGCAGGGCACAGCAGGTAAGGGCACACATGTGGTAGCCTG